TTTCAAAGCATACAATAATTTACTGAATTACAATATTGTAATTTCTTTGTTCTGGAATAGTCATTTCCATTCATAGATACATAGATGCCAGCTATTTGTACTTGTCTCTCATCTAGAATGTTTAAGAACGGACTTGTTTTAGTTTAAATAATATTTAGGGATGTTCAGATACGAGTTCAGCTACCAGTACCGATACTTGGCATTTTCAGGAGAACGATCTCCCAGGGTTGCAGCGGTTGAAGCTGGGACCTGGCTCTGGCGCTCCACCACTGTCCTGAAATCATTAGTCTGTATTGTTTTAGAAAAACTGTCACATGACACTAAACAAAAATGTATCAGTACTTGTATCTGTGAGTACTTGGACAAGTATCAGTACTTGTACTTGAAAAAATGGTATTGGTGCATCCCTAATAAATATTTATAAAAACAAAATCATACATAAAACAGAGATGCACAAATCCCAGGAGCTCCGTGTGCTGGTTACAAATGACAGCTGCCTCCTAACTTTTGCATTTTTCTCTAGTTTCGTCTTGGAGCTCAAAAGTATCGGTACTTGTACCGAGTATTGTACTTGGTATCTGAACATCCCTAATAATAATCATCTTGTAAATCTGATATCTAGGACCCCATTATCCAAAAAGCTCCAAAAATTAGAATGGTGATGTTATTATAAAATGTCTCTTTTGGTAATAATCTCATACATGTAGCTGTGATCTCTAAGCGTATTTATTAATGTGACTAGATTCATACTATAACGTTATAGAAACTTTGTTTTAGTGCTTGTATTTATGTTACTTTACTGCAATACAGCATGTTTTGCTGCAGTTTGTGTTAAAGTCTGTTGCTGGAGAAAAGAAAAACAAATTAAAAATACAGTACATCTCTGCAGTGAATGCACATTTCCCCAGGTTTTGACTGCAAGCAGATAAACATACCTGTTGATCCTGCTGGGAATCCAGTGAGCTCTTATCATTGTGTAGTGAGCTGACAACTCTGCCTTTGGTCCTGCTCACAGTGAAATCTCTTTAAGACCCCGTTCACACCGCGGCAGTACAGGCGCACGGATTCGGCCACACGGATCCGCCGACATGGACGATCCCATACATTGCTATGGGGACCATTCATGCGACTGCACGGGTCCGTGCGATCCGTACAGCGCTGATCAGTGCGGTTTCCATACAGGTTTCAAAGGAACCGCGCTAATCAGCGCTGAAACACAATTAAAAACTACCAAAACCTCCCTTGCAAGATCAGCGCGGTAACCACGCTGATCCGCAACCGCACTGGTGTGAATGGGCTCTTAAAAGGCTGCAAGTATAGAATAGTACCTGCTTATCCCGCAAGAAATCCAGTCAGCTCCTAACTTCAAGTTGTGAGTTGACAACTCTGCCCCTGCTGCACTAAAATCTTAAGCAGTCACGCATGTGTTTTCCTCCCCTGGACTACACAACACCTCTCCCCTAAGGTATTGAGATGAGGAGAAGAGGGAGTTGTGCTCCAGTGGAAGAAAAGACAGGCAGGGCTGATAACACTGCTTGGGATCTCAGTGCAGCATAGGCTGTCAGTTGTCAGCTCACAAAAAGAACATTAGCAGCTCCTTGAATGGCCAACTGGTATTGTTTGTTTTTAGTTTTGCCCAGACATGCACTTTAACAAATATCAACACACCATAAATTGTTGCATAATGTGGTAAAAAGGAGCATTAAAGGAGAACTATGAGGTGAGTGCTTTTCACTCACCTCATAGTTCTAGCCGACCTGCAGCTCGCGGTATACTGAGCTTAGGGTAACGGGAGGACGCTAGAGAACTATGGGGAAAAGCCCTGACCCCATAGTTCTCCTTTAAAGATGTGTGCTAATAATACGCATTATTTTTACCAGTATAGTCTGAATCTAACGTTGTTCTGACTGCACTAAACTGATGAACATGTAGGGCTCATTCAGATGGACATGCAGGCCTGTAAAAAGACCTAGTCACGGAAGGGACAGGTGCTGCTTGTAATTGCATGCAGCAGTCTGTTCTTGCCTAAGGCAGGATGCAGCTGCACGCAATTACACGTGGTCACACGCACAGCTGGACCTGCACATTCGTGCGGGTCTGGGTGCCTGCACTTGGATGCACACATCTTTAATGCTCCTTTTTACGCCCATCTAAATGAGTCCTTAGGGTGGGGTTGCTATAGGTAACTGCATATCATAAATCCAACATCATATTATCTAGAAAACCCCCAGATGCCCCTAAACTGACTATGGCCAGCCTGCAGTAAGAAAGCTGCATATCCAAATGGCCAACTGATTCTAAGTAATAGACACCTGAAGTAATACACAAAACTTGCTTGCTTTTTTCTACTATGACTGAGCTTTGTGCCCTCTGATTTTCCAAGTCTCCCTCCTGGCCAAAGGGGCTGCCCATTACAGTAAACAAGCTATAGGGGATGCGCATGAGGGGGATACAGCCAAGTTAAACTTTCAGAGAAAAAGTGTAGATTTGCATATACTGTATCTTCAGCTGTCTATATCTGTATTTATATTGACATGTTTTTAGGGAAGATGACCTCTGCTTACACATGTTTGATCCAGTTTGAATTACCCAGGGATGTATTTTAATTTACCGTAGTTTGGTTTATGTTTCTTTCTTTTTTGTTTTGTTTTTTGTTTTTACTACTAATATCAAACTAGAAGATAACAACATGAAATTCCTGTTATCCTTTTTAATGTCACTTTTATGTAAAATACAAACAGTAAGTAAATATTCTGTACATTATGAATATATAAAACTATATTGATTGTCAAGGAGCATCAAGTGGGGGGGAGGCCAAAAAAACTGCACATTACTTCAAACCTGTTTTAGCGCATTAAAAAACATTATTAAAACATTCAATGCTTATGCTGCAAATTTTGTGTCAATGTCAATATAGGCATTGTGTCAATGTCAATAACCACAAAAAAAATAAAATATTACAATATATATAACGACCGAGAACAGCACTGTAAAGCATTCAGATGTAAAAGCTGGAATTTGTTACAATGACATGTTGAAAACAACTAATTACAAAATAAAATTTGAAGAGTACTGTACCTACCACCTATAATCCCTCCCAGTTTAATCGAAAAAATACAATTCATCACAAACTTGTGATATCACTAGCCTATGATGAACTGTATATTGCCACTCAACTATAGGGCTGATTTAAAGGGGAATATATTTTATGCAAATGTCTGAACCTGACCATAACGTGCTGTTATATGGAGTGCTTATCTCAGTTTCTGCACCCACCTTCGATACTGGTTGAAAATGACCAGTAATAAGATTTCACCACCATCTCATCCATGTAAGGGAGAGCAACTAATTGCAAATGCTTACAGCAGAAGAGGACCTGTCATTCCCTTTCTGATCCTCTGGCTATCAATATGGAGAAAACGGACATCAGAATTTAAGATACAGGTCTTTAACCCCTTCGTGACGGGAGACGTACAGTGTACGTCCCGTCACAAAGTGGCTATATGACTGGCCACGTACACTGTACGTGCCGAGTTATATTAGCCTCTGTAATGCTGGTAACTGCTGATTCTCAGCAGTTCCAGTCATTAATTAATGCCTCACTATTGAGACATTCATTAATGAAATAGTTAAGCTTTTTTAAAAGCTTCTACTTAGATCCATTGATGTTGGTAATGTTACAGAAAGTGATGCCAACATTCCTGGGGAAAATGGAGAAGAAACAGCTGGAATGAATAGTAAAAGTCTGCACGTGGAAATTACACTTGTAGGTGCCATGTGACGTCCTGCAGGTGCCAAATGTCATCTTGCCAAAGACAGATTTTGGCACGTTAGCACCCAGAAAGAATGCATTTGCGAACATGGAAAAAAATTATAAATATCAAAAAGAGGTCCAAATCGTTCTTTCACACAGGGGTGGTTCTTACATATACACAGTTACATAGTATTTGAGGTTGAATAAAGACACAGGTCCATCAAGTTCAACCTTTGTGTGTATGTGTGTGATTGTGTATGTGTACACAAGTCCCTTTTCTGTCCTTGTTTTTAGGTGTACCTGTACCCCTATATGTTGCGGTCTCTGAGGAAGGTATCTAAATGCTTTTTGAATGATTCAATACTCTCAGCTGATACCACTTCTTGTGGCAGCGAGTTCCAGACTTTAACTGATCTCACTGGAAAAAAAGCCCCTACACCCCTTGTGGTTAAATCTTTTCTCCACCAGTTTAGGTGGTGGTCTCTAGTCCTTGTTAAGGAGTTTACTGTAAAAGGTTTATTGCTGATGTTGCCATCACCCCTAAACATTCTGTACATCAAAATCATGCCCCCTCTTAATATCCTCACTTCCAGCATGAACAAGTTTAAGTTTAATAGGTTCTGTGCCTGCCATGGCTTAAGTAGTAGGGTAAACAAGAGTGAACCTACTGCTGCTTGCAGTGATGATGATGGTAGGACAGCAAAGTGTTGATACACACAATAGATTTATATCAGGTGGCAAATTACTGTATAAAAATCTAATTTTAGTGAAAAAAGGGGTTATGTGCTATCAACATCACTCATAAGTATTTGTTTTGTCCTCCACAAGCCTTGGACTGATATCCTATTATCCTTGCCTCGATAAAATAGTTAAAATGATGCAGCCGACTTCTCATGATCCTTTTAAAAGCTCAGCTCTGATAAGCTGTTGTGTGTCTCCGTACATCATTTGTTCTTTCTCTATTGTCACTGTGATACTAAAAGAAACCCATTGTGTAGATTACCAGTACTCTTCAAAAGAATATATACATCAAAACGGCTTTGTTCTTAGCAATACATTGCTGCAATTGAATGGTTTAATTTAACGGAAAGAAATGAAATGACCCAGTCAAAGATGAGAGTAGAGTTTACAATATACTATTCCTTCAACATAATGACTAGTAAAAGAAATCCATAAAAACTACTTTCTGATCCACAGAAAAGGAATTGTTGTCTTTCCATACATAATAAGATAATGGGGCATGATTTTATTATTCCAGATCAGTCCCTTTCGATCTCTATGTATAGTCGGTCTTCGTCGTCACTGCTGGTGTCACTATATTCCACGTAGGTTTGTTTTCTCATCACCTCAAGGTTAACTTTGTTCTGAAATTTAAGACTTCTTTGCTCAAGGTCTGAAGTACGACAATGGTTCTGTGAAGGCATATTCTCACCCATTGGTAATTCACCAGACACCACAGCCTTCCCAGAAGCATTTACATCTGAATTGTGTTTTGAAGGTTCACATGCACCAATGACAGATTTCCTGGAGTTCTGTCGAGATGGACTGCATACAACCTTTTTGGAATCTGTGGGAACTCTAGCCTGAAGGCCAACATTTGCCAAGAGGGGCAAACTGCTGTTATGTAATTTGAGGTTGTGATTTGGTGCTGTGGTTTCCTCGCCCATACTGTGTCCTATGGTTTTTGACCTGTGCAGTATTCTTCTCCCATGCTTTTGAGGGGGACCATCAACTAGGTCTTGCTGTAGGTGGACCCGTTTGATTTCAGATGTTAATTGGTCAGATGCAGTTTCATCTTTGCCAGTGGGAAGATTACATGACTTCTGCCAGCTTAAGGATGTTGTATGGGGGGATTTCAGACTAGCAAACTCTTCAGAGAGTTGTGACTTGTTTTTTTCTCCAGCAGTGAGCTGGTGGTTAGGAGCAAGCAGTGGAACTGGGGCTATTTTTGTAGATGTCCCCTCATCAATATGACTATCCATCCCATATGCACATTCACCCTATTGAAAACAAAACAAACTCCATTGAAAACATCCTGAACAGTCACCACAATGATAACCTTCCAGAGACAGAGACATCGTTCAGCATTATTTGTTTTTATATACTGGACAGATGTATAATTAATTTAGCCGTATTATATTATTTGATTACAGGTCTTAAAAACATCACTAGCTTTAAAAGTACACACGGACATTTCAAAATCTCTAGCATTTATTGTCCCGATTATATTGTCTGAGAGTGTTAATAATAAAGATTCAGGTAAGAGAACAAGTATAAACAATTAAAAATGTTACAGGCTGTAATGTAAAGGCCAACAAAAAAATTAAAATAAATGCAAAAGAAAATAGATAAGGATGGATACTATAAATATGGACATGGTGGCTATATAGTTAAAACAAATTAAATAGTTTTAAAGTGCTCAAGTGTAACCAAGTGTTGCCAGTATAAAATAATGGCTAATTTAACAGAAAATTCCAAATCAACGTGTTTTGTTTTTTTTTTTGTAGGCAAGGACTAAGTAGATAAGTAGATTGAATCTTTTCACAGATATGATGCTTACATGGTTATCGCACATGTAAATGTCCCATAGGATGTATTTAGTTTATATATGTTAAGTGGGTAACTCATTTTGGAAGATGAACAAGTAGGTGCACCCGGGAACTAGCTTCATTTTGTCAATTTCACGTTTCAATTTTTTTCCAAGCCAGTTAATTTTTTAGGTCATATATTGTTACTAAACACAAGTTTCGTGACCAAATGTTCTCCAAGTGCAAATGTTATAATAATTCACACTGTTTGCAGGGTCTAGTTCATGAGTGACATGACAAAATTGCTTGCATTGAACAACCATTATATAATGTCGGTGGATGCTGTAACCAAATATACCAACAGTGAAATGGGGCAGATATTGCACAGCTTGGCTAGCAAGCTAGAGGACCCACCAAGGCTACAGAGTAAAGATGGCCATGATTTTTCAAACACAACATTACATAAAAGCAGCTCAAATAGAATTCCTGTAAGCATCCAAAAAGTAAACCAGATAGAGCCATTAAAACGAAAGATAATGCACATTAAAAACTGTTTTCAATTTGCTGACAGTCCGATACATCCCTGGGAGCTCTGAATTTGCTTCACGGAGGATTCTAAATACACTTGATTATACAATAGCTGTGGTTGGAAACCTCCAGTTTTGGGAAGGTGTGTAACACGTGTGTATAACAGGGGGCTTTGCTGTGCATCTCCGACCATAACCCTCCTGCTGCTGAGCATTATGAAATTATTCATAAGAACAACATGTGGAATGACTTAACATTCTCAGAGTGGATGAAATGTTAAAAATGTTTCACTACAATGTCAAGCTGCAAATTGTTTAGTTTTGTGAATTATAACGGTAGCAACATAATTTTTTTTTTTTTCACCTATTGTAACTGAATTCTACTAGAATAAAGAAATATACTTGAGAAGATTAAAAAAAAAAAAGATCACCAGCACTCAATAATAAAGTTGAATATGTCCTTTTTATTGGACAAAGACGTCACAGTGATCCAAAAAGGCAGAAAGACGTGACAATATAGTAACCTACATACCCCACACTACTATAATATTGTATATTACTATATTGTCACGTCTTTCTGCCTTGAGGAAGGGACCCTGCGCGGCCCCGAAAACGTCGACTTTTTGGATCACTGTGACGTCTTTGTCCAATAAAAAGGACATATTCAACTTTATTATTGAGTGCTGGTGATCTACTTTTTTGTTCTGTGTTTGCACGGCGCCATTCGTGGTCAATCACTGCGAGCACCGCTTTTCATCTATTGGCCGGGACTGCTGTGAGGTGTGCGGAGGGCTCCTCCATCTACCTATACTTGAGAAGATGACATTTTTGTTATTGGGGAATGTATTAACCAGGTGAGAAGAAGAGTACCCAGGATCTCATCATACTGACCACAATGACCCAGTTTACATGTACAGTACATTTGGAGCTTTTATACATTATCCTATCTCCTGCGTAGATAAGGAAGATCCTTCTTATAGCAGAGGTTGCCAGGTTGGCCCCTGGAGGAAAGGGCGTTTCATTTTCGCATATGAAAAACCCTTCTTTACAGTAACAACTATGACAGTGCAGAAAAGACTTCCACAAGAGCTAGTTATGGTCAACTTATTATATTGCTTCAAAAATGGCTGGTTATGTTCCTAAAGACACAAAACATAACTGGCAATTCATATTTTTAAGAAACAGCACTTTGGAATGTTGATCCAGGGAGTACCAAAGTTCAGGAAGGAAGATTTTTTCCCCCCCTTAATAGAGCAAATAGGACTATGATTTATATAATTGTTGTTCCATCCTCTGGATCAACTGCAGCTTTACGGTACTAAGGATGCAATTTATTTGTCTTCTAATTAAACTCAGGGAATTGACCTTTTTTCAACCAAACTGACAATGTGTATTGTGACAGTGCTGTGCCTTGTCACGATGTCATAAGGGATAGAGGTCACCCAGGGTCCTCACTCATACAGGTTGAGAGGCTCCAGGCTGTATATTTCATATGAAGAAAACTAGCTTTTCAGTTTTCTCCAAGAATGGTAAACCCTGGTCAGGGTCCTGGATTCTGAAGGCTTTGTCTTGACTTGGATGAAGTCTCCAACCCTGGGTCCATGTTTTGAGGTTGACCAGCACACAATGACTGTGCAGCTGTGCACATCCCATAAGGCACGGCGGCTAATGAGTGTTTTACTAAAAATGTACTGTTGACCACCACTTCGTTCTTGCAGGAAGATTTTGTCTTACCTCTTCTTTCTTATCCACAGAATGAAGCGCAGGAGGATGTAATGTGAGTATTGTATCTGCATGATCTCTAGAGCCAGATATGGTGGTCCTCTGCAAAATATCTCCTATAAAAGACACACATCAGTCAGATTTTAATCATGAAACCTAAATCCGAAGTTTTTATCAAACATATCTGACATAGGTACTCCATAAACCCAAAATAATGTCAATATTTCTCTTGGTAGCAAGTGGAAAGGGAAAATAAACTGGACGGGCAAGGGAAGGAAAAGGAATGGAAAAGAAATGGGATGGATAATGGAAGGAAAAGGAAAGGGGAGGAGAAGAGAGGGAAAGAAAATTGAAGGTTAATAAAAGGGTAGGGTGAGTAAATGGAAAGAAAAGGAAATAAAAAAAAAAAGAAAGGAAAAGAAAGAATGACATAGAAAGCAAAGAGAAGCAAGAGATAAATAAAAAGGACAGGGAAGGGAAAAGAAGGAGAAAGGTACAGGAATGGAACAGGAAAAAGGAAAGAAATATTTATTTATTTTTAAAAAATGGTTTAAGGAAAGAACTGTCAGTCTCATTATTTCTATGTGGCTGCGTAGACATTCTGAGATAACAGACACTATAAATAGGGCCCCCTCAAGCTCACTTATAAAAACTGGAGCAAGTGAAGGACAGTACGGTTGTCCATAACCACTAATGAGGTTACAGCTTTTGTTTTCCAAACTGAAAAGTGACAGTCTTATTTTGATTGAACACTGAAGAAGAGCACCTATGCTTTCTTTGCATTAGGTTTTTTTATGGTCACCACATGGCTGATTGATGTATAATATGCGTGATTCTTAAAGTAAAACTCCCACTTCATAAACATGTCAAATTACAGCTTAGTTTTGGTCTCTAATAGAACTGGTTTCATTCCCTTTCTGTACTTATATCAGTGTTTGTTTTGCTTCCCAGTACTCAGCTACTTTTGTAGTTTAAATATGTTTATTTTCCATCTGGACTCCAGTACCTTTATTGTGTGAGGCTACAGTACATCTTGCACAGATACAAAAACCTCTGAAGAGTTATAAACCTCTGGCAGATGCTAGCCTGTCTATAAATGCCTGTTGTTTTATTTTAGGATATTCCTATATAGGAAAAGTGTAAAATTGATGGCAAAAACTCTTCTTCCACAATAAAGGGTTTGGAGAACAAACAGCAGAACACATTAGTGCTTTAAATGTAACTGCATTTTAATGTCAAATTTGGAATATAAAAGGTAGGATAGTAAGATAATAAACATTGTAAATGGTATCCAGCACTTTTTTTTCTTTTACTTACAGGGTTATTCACAAAAGGGTGAAGAGTTTGGAGAAGGCAGGAGCAGTGAACAATCTAGGAATTGTTCACTGCTCCTGCCTTCTCCAAACTCTTCACCCTTTTGTGAATAACCCTGTTAATGTGGATAGAGGCTGCAGGCACCCTCTACTGTACTAAACATAGGTGTATACAGAGCAACAGAAAGAAGCCTGGCTTAGGTATATACAGAGCAACAGAAAGAAGCCTGGCTTGGCCATGCTCTCATTATGAGGGGAGGAGACCTCCCAACTGGGCTCTCAGACAGCCAGAAACAGACATAAATTCTCCTTAAACATAAAAAAATAATTAGGTAGCGTTACCCTTTAAATCTTTTACATAGTGAAAACATTTTAATTAAGGATTACAACCAAACATCGGGTGTTTGAGTATCCAGTTCTTACATACACAAACTCCCACAAGGACATAAGCAAAGACCAAAGAGATATAATGGACTGAAGCTGCAGTTGGTGTTATTATAGATGAAGTTCTACATTTACTGGCAAGACAGTTTGTGTTACATCACCTCAATACACTAATTGTATACCCAGAACTATGGCTCTGATGGAATAAGAGCAGTGTTATAAAAATGTGTAAAAAAAACCTCAATGAAATGAGAAAGGAAGAATTGAACTATGCTCATTGTTATTCCTTATTTTTTCTGTGGTACTATACTGTACTGTATACTATATGACTAAACGTATGTGGACAGCTTTTCATCGTATCTACTAAATAAACAAAAGTATGGACACCCCTCGAAATTATTGAGTTCAGTTGTTTTTTTTTAGCAAAGGGCATGGTTAATTCTATATCGTACAAAGACATTTTAGAGAATTGTGTACTTTCCAACTTTGTGGTAGCATTTTGGTGAAGGCCATTTTCAGTTCCTGTATGACTGTACCCCTGTGCAGAGAGCCAGCTCCATAAAAACACGGTTTAATGAGTTTGAATTTGAGTGGCCTGCACAGAGTCCTGACCTCAACCCTATAAAACATCTCTAGGATGATTTGGAATGACGAATGTGGGCCAGGTCTTCTCATCCAACATCAGTACCTGACCTCAAAAATGCTCTTTGGTTAAATGTGCACAAATCCCCATAGACACATTCTAAATTTGTGGAAAGCCTTCCCTGAAGAGAGGGGGCTGTTATAGCCTCAAAGAAGGGGGGGGCAACTAAATAATAATGCATATGATTTTACAATGGGATGTCCAACAAGCCCATACAGGTGTTCACAAACCATATCGTAAAGTTTTATAACCAGAAGTTCAACAACATAGTACTCCGAATATTAATAGCATGTTCTATTTACAGGTTACACAGTATTCTGTTTGTTTGACTAAGCCCAATGTACATGTTTAGAATCCCACTGGCCAACACATGTCTCTTCCTGGAGCATCTGCCCTCACATGTGTATGACCACCTATATTTTGTAACTATTAGGTGAGGACTATTAAGTGGGCTTTAAAAAAAATCTGCATGGAAGCTAGAAACCCCCTTTAATGTCTAATCAAACTAAAATGTCACATAGTATGCAGTTGAGTTTTCATTGACTAGTTAACCAGTTTAATCTGCTCTCCCAGGGAAGGAATGTTAATACTTGACTGTGAACAGTATCCAGTATGTGTAAACAGCCAACAGTTATATAACACAACACAATCTGTACACAAGAATAAAACAAAACACAGGCTAGACATTCTCCCATCTGTCTGAAATGTGCACTGTCTATACCCTCAATGCGTGTTTGACTCTTGGCTTCTTTATCAATTGTTTGTTATTCTTCAAATTGTTTTTTCATAAATGTGATGTAAGGTGCCCACCTTCTGCCTCATGTCTGGTCACACAGCCCTCTTCACCTAGGAGTCTACATTAGACTGGTCACTTTGACTACTGTATTTAAGGAAGCCTTCTCCAGACAGTGGCTGTTACAGAGTTCAGTACTACTCTATGTAGGTGTGCAGTAGTTACTGTCCTCTTGTTGTAGCCTTTTGTCTTGTTGCTGACCTGCAATGGTATGCTGGCTGTCCTGACCCTAATTGCTGATCAATTATGACTACCATGGGTAATGCAGCTCTGGTCTGACTGCACACATGGAGTAATCCCTGGCCTGCCACTGACTTATTCTTGTTCTGTTGCCTGGTACCATTATTGACCATCTGGCTCCAGATTCACTTCTGGCCTACTTCTTCACCTAGTAGTCCAGTGCAGATACCTATAATGTTTACATTCAGGCACAATAACCCCGCTTACAAATGGAGCACTTAACTACCAGTAGACACAGAAAGCCTTAACATGAATGCTACTATAAAATGGTCACCATACCTGAGCAACAGTCCTTACCTTTGAACTGTTAAGATCAAATTAATGTGAACATGTTTGCCCTGAGTAAGCATTTAGGGACAATCATTCAAACTATCATGAAAATCCAGAACTGTACCAATGCAAAACTGCAGTTACAACCCAACATTCAGTAACGCCAGTTTTATCTCTTATCCTAATTAAGACTGTTTGCTCCGGCCTTCACGGCTTCCTGAGAAAACAAAATACTACACAAGAAATAGCTGCACCTTTTAAAATATGCAACAGGCAAGAAGAAAGTGCAAGAAACTAGCCAACAATACTATTAAAGTGTATGTCAAGCCAAAAGTATTATAACTCCTTTTGCGTTTTCCTGCTATCTGGGGCTCCAGTAGGAAGATTTGCTGTCCTACTTACAATAGGAAGTGAAGAAAAATTTGCAACAAGGGCAGAAATAAAAAATATAGCCTTCCCCTACTCTATTATTAAAAAAAATATTTCTAAATGTGTTGCTGCTGGACAGTTCCTTCATCTCCTGCCTGGTAAAATGTTAGCAGGACAGGAAGTGACGGTAAATCTCTCTAAAACTTAAGATTCCATTTGTGATAGTTGAATTCTGATGATTTTATATATTCATACAAGTTATTTTACCCAAATTTTAAGAATTCATATGTGTGTATATCTGGTTTTGTAATCCTGATGAAGGGGGGAGGTTTTTTAAAAACATTTTTTACATCCACAAGAACAGTATAACAAAACAACAAGGCACTTTTTGTTGTGGGCATTGAGCAATGTTGCATAATACATAATAGTTATGTACCAATGCAATCATAAATAATGGATGCAGAGGAGACAAACTAAAAATGAATAGTAGCAAATAACACAGCACCTGTCCAAAGGTGTCAATGGGACAGAAAAGCAGAAGCATAAGATGAGGGAAAAGAACAAAAAAGTGTGGTGTAAAAACAAAGGGAACTACAATCAAAGGAGAAAGAAAAGAAGAGATGGTATACCCCACCTGTCCGCCCAAGAAAAACAACAGGGAAGGGGGTATCCAACAACACAGGGCAAAAGGGGTGGGGGAGGTATGTGGCCAGCCCTGGTGAGCCCCCCAGGGAGGGAAAGGGGGGGAGCCCACGTCCAATGCCCACATGCAGCTTGTGTATACAAATTATCCAGAGGAAGCGTCCTCAAGGGTTAAATGGTGTCAGACAGAAGGGCTGAGGTATAGACATCAGAGTATCCAAATTGCCTTCAGTAGGACCAAGTTTTTCTGAAGGTCTCTGATGTATTGTTAATTGAGGCAGTCAGATCCTCCACACATATCATTCACTCTAGCAAACCAGTGTGAAAAGACCGGGGGGAGGTCTGCTTCAAAAGTGCAGTAATCTTGGTGGCATTGAGAAGGTGAACAATTAAGCCTTTTTTCTAGTGAGATTTGGGAATGGGAAAAAGAAGTAGTAAATATGCCACTGGGTCGTCCCCAAG